CTGACACAAGGTTAGCAGCAAGTCTCTTGTGGAGCTGCGAGTGCAATATTATTAAATTCCTGACTGAACTTTTCCAGGATTCCATAGATAGGATAGCTGTAGGATCATACATTTTTCATAGTAGAAGAGACTATAGGGATAAAGTTCTTACAGATGAGGAAATACATATATTTCAGTAAACATATTTCATTATGTTCAGTGACAAGTTTAGTGTGAGTTTAAGTTTGGTCTTTTACTAAACTGAGCTTGAGAGTAGGCCTTACAGTTTTTTGTAATAATAATAATAATACCTTTACTCCATAGGTGTTATTATTACAAAACCTGTGAGACCTGTTCTCAAGCTCAGTTTAGTCCTTTGTTTCCTAGCCTTGCAGATGCCAAGGGATTCAAGTTCCAGGCTTACCCAGTGGATTAGGTAAAAAGTGTCACTGACACGTCACGTTATTTCCTCTGAGTCATATTCTGTTTCTGTGATAGACGTGGCATATTTGCCGACCCTGGTCGTTTTGGGGATTATAGGACTTGAGGGTCAGCTTTGAGGTAGAAATTTAGCTGCAGGAGCAGTTCAGTCATACAGTGGGAGTGCAGTTTATGTGGGTGTCGGGTTCCAGAGTTTGCACACACGTGAAAATCACATGCAGTAATCATAAGATTTACCCCTGAAAATCTCTTAGAAAGATGCCATGTTGGAGACTGATAAGCCAGCTTTCAGTAAGTCCAGCATAACCAGCCTTTCCTCCACGTTAGAAAGAATGACTTGTTTCTTCAGTGGCGTTCCAGGTGATGGAGGAGCTCGATTGTATTAGGGAGTAGGTGTGTGAAAGTCAGGTATTTCTAAGCATCGGAGTCACACTCAGTGCACAAGGAGCTCATCCTTGAGAAGCACCTGGGAACCAAGTGGATTCTGGACCTCCCATCTCCTCTGCACTCTGAGGCTTGCTGTCATGGAGTGGAATGATAAGGGGAATGACAGCGTTTTGAAAATTTTACCGCGTGCTTTCTCTCCTTCCTGAGTACACAGTATTGAATTTCCCTAAGTTAAATCCTTGTTAGCAGGCCAGCTCCGAACATGTGTGGGGTCTGGGACAAAAGTGCCATTGGAGACTTACATACTTTATATTAAAACATTTAAGAGTAAATCAGACTAACAAACTGTTAAATAAAACTGTATTTCTGGCATGTCCTGTTTAGATGTTTTTAGATGGTTGTGATATTAGGATTGGCTTGTTTCTATACCTGTTTTTCATTTTCCTTCTGGTTCCTGATGGAGTAGTAATGTTGTCTCGGAGGGAGATGTGCAGGACAGCTCTCTTAGCTCCTCTCAGTCCCTTGACGATAGGCTGCTCTCGGCCGCCTAAGAACAGGCTCCTCCTGATCCCCAAGGACAGGCTCCTGTTGGCTCTGCCACCTGTTGCCACCAGCTCTACCGCTGCACAGGCTCAGCTTCTGGGCTGTTGCCCCAGGCTCTGCTCCTGAGCCCCTTCCGGGCCTTACTGTCTTCAGTGTTACAGCCCTTGACCAGTGTTAGAGCTCTTTTAGGAGGGTCCTTGCCTCCTCTCTGTCTCTCTCTCTGCTTCTTCTTTCTGCTTCTTCTTGCTTGTTCTCTTCCAGCTTCTTTCTGTCTATCTCACCTATGTAGGGCTGGCTGCGTGCGCGTGCGTGCGCGTGCGTGCGCGCGCACACACGCACACACACACATATCCCTCCTTTTCAGTTTCCAGGTACAGCCACTCCCAGCGTGGGCCACAAACTGACCAAGCCCCTCTCAGTAGGCCACAGACACTTCATTTGCATAGTAGGTGTGACTGGGCTATAACTCATGTCATTTGCATAGTCTAGTGACCAATCCCTGCCAGGTGCATACCATTAACAGGGCAGACTGTATGTAGCCCCGGCCCAAACAAAAAGTATCAAAATCAAGTTGTTTCCAGCTTACCCAGGAAATATCGATCAACCTGGACAAGAGTAACAAACCCTCTGGGATAGAAAACTAGGACAAAAGTAACTCCTCACAGTTTAGGGGAAAAATCTCTCAAGCTGTTTTTCCAGAGAACCAAGGCAAAAGGCCACATAAAGGAACTCATTTCACCACAGCAAGTCTTTCTCCCACAGTGCCGCTGGTGAGTTCCAACCACTGCCCTTTCAGTTAGCAGTGGAGCACTTAACCATTGTGCCACCAGGGCTCCTTATATGCTGCTTAGGTAAGGAGAATAAAGACAGGAATTGAGATTAAAGAAGATAGCCTCTACTCTGATAACGGGAAATACAAGTTTTTATGTAGAGAAGAGAGTTATTGAGATACTTTTTTATCCTGTTTAGAGACAGGATAAAGAGGAGAAATTGGACCAGATGTAAAATGAAGGGAAGGATTAGATATTGTCTAATGGTGGTTCAGTGGTTAAGAGCTTGGTTGTTAACCAAAAGGTCGGCAGTTTGAATCCACTAGCTGCTCCTCGGAAACCTTACAGGGCAGTTCTGTTCTGTCCTGTAGGGTCGCTATGAGTCGGAGTCGACTTGACAGCAATGGGTGTTTTTTTTAATGTACCCTACAACTCTAAAATTCTTAAGGTTTTGGAGAGACCAAAGTGGAGATTTGATTACATTGCTTAGATTTGCTCTTATTGACTCTAAGAATTATTGTCAATTTATATAATGCCATTTGCTATATTAAAATATCTACATAAATCAACAGGCTAAGAAAGTGAATTGATCATCAATTATAAACTAATACCTTGTTTTAGGGGAAGCTTGACTTTGGTTCATTATAATTCTACTGATAGAAGGTAGATTTTAATTTATGACGACAAACCCAAAATACATGGGGTAAGTCACTTGTACATGTACCTGCCAGTCTCCTAGTTCTCAGTTGAAAGTAAAATACAGAGTTAGAATAAAACTGTGTGACTTTCGAGCAAACCAAGATAAACTGGTATTATTGAGATACCTTTGTATCCTATTTAGGGATAGGATAGAGAGGAGAAACTGGACCAGATTTAAAAACCTGGCTTTTAGAAAAAGCAGTTTCCATTCTGAATTGTGTTGGTTTAAGAAGCTCTGTCAGGTCCCTGGGTGGCACAAGCGATTCGCACTCAACTACTAATCAAAAAATTGGTGGTTTGAATCTACCCAGCAGCACTGCAGAAAAGACTGGGCAGTCTGCTTCTGTAAAGTCGGACATTGAAAACTCTACCAAGTGAATGCAGTTCTCCTCTCACACCCATGAGGTCACCATGAGTTGGAAGCGACTTGATGGCAGTGGGATTGTTTTGTTTTTTAAGAAGCTGTGTAGCTTTTTTTGTGCATCCTGTCCTGGGAGGCTCCCTTTGCACAGCTGTGGAATTTATGTCTGGTCCAAAGGGAGTTACTCCATCTTGGAGGATGCTCTGACTGTCATGGCGCCCTTGGTTCCCTCCCCCCACCCAGTGTTTAGTTAGATTATCCTGAGCTCCCTTTATATTTCCTCCGAGGTTCATTGTCCATTATCATTTTCCTGTTCTTCCTGGTGGGTTGAGCAAGTTTCCTGAAATCCAAATAAAGAGGTGAACTCTTTGACCTTAAAAAAGTAGTTAAGAGCAATGACTCAAACTTTCAATTTTGAGCAGTCCCAAAGTTTAGTGTCTCTAAAATGAGAGATTGCAGTAGATCCAGGCTTCTGAATGAATCAGTGAAGAGCTGAGTAATGATGCAGGATCTATAGATTTATTTTTGTGTGTTATCTGCGGTTCAGCTCAGCCCTGCTTTCTTGGGATAGGAGGATGACAGTACCAGCATCTTGTCATCTGAAATCTCTGAGCTGCCTAAGGGTGCTTGCAGCTGCTTGTACACGAGGCATTTCATTGCCTATGTTTTGACACTTGATGATGGGCTAGGATGACCTCCAGGCATCTCTCTTTCATTCCAGATAAGGCAGAGAGTTCGTGCTACTTTATAAATTGCAGAAGGCAGCAACTGAGGATGCTGTGTGGCACACTTCAGTTACTCACTGTTTATTTATGGGTCGTCTCTTCCTTATTTCTCTGAGAAGCTTGTCGTGAGGTCCGTGCAGTCATTCTGTCTTTGTGGCTAATACGGTAGCTGCTCCTCAGGGACAGGGTGGAGTCAGGTTTGGCAGAGGGTGCCCGCCCCGGCTGCCAGCTCTTGGCTAGATTGGAAACTGAACAGAAAGACTGTTGTAAAAGATCACTAATGGTTTGTAATTGGAAACTATAAAAAGTGCTGAGTGACTCAAATTCCAATTTTCTTTCCTTTTTTTTTTTCTGGTTGGTGAATTTGGAATGCTAATTTTAACTTTACAATTTCATAGTGATCACCTTTGGTCTGTTGAGTGTTAAATCTTATCTCTGTCGTGCGTCTTTGTTAGAAAACTTTGAGTGGTAGCCTTCCAAACTTTCGCTCTTATTTCCTTTAAGAAAAATTAACATTTTACTTCTCTCTTATTCCCTGAAAGGGAGTACAGGCTATAAACTTTTGGAAGGATAAAAACATAAGAATATAAGCTGTGTGTTTATTGATGAAACATTTAAAAAATATTTAATTTTTTCATGGAACCTGACTGCTGAAGGTATGCTTTCCTTAAGTTTTTTTTTTTTTTCTTCTTCATATAAGTGATTTTGCAAAGTAATTTAGCTTAGCAGGAAGATTCTGGCACTTAAATAAGTTTAGAAATTGATACTGAAGGATAAATTGATACTTAAAGGATAAGTGGTTTTCCTTTTTTTTAGACTTCTCTCTCACACTTAAGTTAGTCTTTAAAAAAAAAAACAAAACAAACCATTGCCTTGGAGTCAATTCCAACTCAAGAGTAGAACTGTCCCATGGGGTTTCTAAGGAGCAGCTGGTGGATTTGAACTGCCGACCTATTGGTTAGCAGCCTAATGCTTAACCACTGTGCCACAAAGGCTCCAGGTTAGACTTAGGACTCTAGAATTTAGTTCTTTGTCCCTGATCTTCCTGGTCTCTCTTTCCTGGTCCACATTGTTACGTGCTTTTTCAAACTGATCTCTCCTCATTGAATGCCTGCTCCCCCAAATCCAGACCTCCTCCTTGCCTGAGAGCTGCTGATGCTGATCACAGAGCAGAGATCACCTCAGCAGATGGTTGGTCTTTCTGGTAAATCATTATTAAAAGGAGAGGGTTAAGAACAACTAATCTGAAACTCAAATCACAAATTTTGGTGCATATTTTCCAGTATTTAGTTGATTTATGGAGCCCTGGTGGTACAGTGGTTAAGAGCTTGGCTGCTAACCAAAAGGTTGGCAGTTCGAATCCACCAGCTGTTCCTTGGAAACCCTGTGGGGCAGTTCTACTCTGTCCTATAGGATCGCAATGGATTTTTTTTTTTAGTTGGTTTATATTTTACAATGCTGTATAGCAGGTTGACTCATATACTTAATTACCTAGGGGGACATTTCACAATTGGTTTATTCTGGGAAGGTACTGGAGAGCTCCACTGTTTAAAGTGGGTTGTTTCTGCGTGTGTGGTGGAGGTTAGAGTCGTCTGCGGGCCTTGTTGTTCACGGTGCCGCTAGTCAGTGAGAGGGGTGGAGCAGAATGACGCTTTATGGATCTTATGTTAGGCCCCTTTCCTTCTCTTCCGTATCTTCTGCTTAGGGGTCTCCAGAAAAACAACCAAATTTTGTTCTTACGCTATTTTCTGGGGGGAGTATGATTTTGCTGGTGCCCTTCTAGAGAACCCAGAGCCGAGGGCTGCTGGCTCTTCCTGCTGTCAGCTGGTTTCTTAGGGGATTATATGCTGTTGTTGGTTTGTTCCTCTTCTGTTTTCTGGTAAACCTTCGTTTTTTACCCTCTCTTGATACTTAAAAAAAAAAAATTCATTTCAGGTAGAAAAGGTATCATCATGCTTTATTTTATTTAAAAAAAAAAAAAAAAGGATTACCTAAGGGTAAATTTTATTCTTTTTCATTTCAGTTATGAAAGCATACAGTTTCAGTTTTTTACTTTTGTTTTGTTTGTTTGGCCTGCCTAAAGTAGGTCTTCTGCTTATTTGGTGATTTTCTAGTATTTTACTACTGACTTTTGTATGTTTTTCACTGTTTACCATTTCTGTTTGTTCCAAAGGATCACGTTCCCTTTAGGTATGTTTGGGGCTGTGTACTAGTGTTGCTCTTATGACACTGCACAGATTATAGAATTTAAATTTTTTAAACCAAGGAAGTAGTGTTGGTTCCAAGCCTTGGTAAACTGACCATTGTTTTATTTCTCTCTCCTGCCTAGGATGGTGATCGAGACATTTTTATCGATGGCGTTGTTGCTCGTAATCGAGCCTTGAATGGGGATCTGGTGGTGGTCAGTCTGCTTCCCGAGGAGCAGTGGAAGGTGAGTTAAACTGTCCTTTCCCAATTACAGACTTCTTAGGGCCTCTTTCCTTCCAAGGCACATCAGTGAGGCATCACACACTGAACCAGCCTTGGACACGGAAGGCCCTGTGCTACAGTGGTGTGTTGTCTCAGAAGCAGCCCATTAAGTGGTTGGGATGTAGAGGCATCTGCTGAGCAGACATTTGGATTGTCCTCCCTGCTCTGTCCCCTGTCATCTACCTTTCCTGTCATATGCTTTGCACTGGTTTCTCGTATTCTTTAGGATAGAAGAAAAGCCTGCAGGGCACATTCAAACTTGGTATGTTTTATTTTCCCACATCTTATGCCGCTAGCAGAACTGGAAGGACAAAGCCATGGAACGGTGACAGTCTCCACACATTTCTGCCACCTCTACTTGAAAACCCAGTCTAGTCCTGTAGGGTGTGTTTGGTGATCGGGCTTCCCTTGGCAGACAAAAATATTCTCTGTGTGCATTTTTATAAAATAAGGGTGTGGTGGCAGGAGAAAATGTTTGTAATACAAGAAAGTTCTGGGTTGTGGTCTCCGTTTATGTCTGTCAATTGCAAAAAAAGAAGTAGTTTTAGTTTTGACTATTATTTTAATTTAAACAACAGTAAGTGTTAGGTGTGGGAATGATTCTTGTTAATGATTTCTTTGAATTGTCATGTAGAGCTGGGAAGTCTGATATGGTGAATTCCTGGGTTTCTGGAGCTAGTTAAGCAGATAAGAATTTGCAGAAATAGGTAGCATTCCCATAGTCAATATACTCAGGCCTCATAGACACACTTTGTTATTTTTCTATTTTACGGTTAATATCTTAAAGCAGAAGAGGTATTGGGCCAGATAAGCCTTGTCTTTGGTTTTAAATGATGTACCCCTGGAACTCTTTTGCTGTTAATTCTGAGAATACTTTAAGGTTACTTGGTGGGTGCTTGTAGGATCAACCGTTGTCCCTAAGCAGTGTTGTGAAGGTCAGTTACAAGGTGTTCCAGATTACCACTATCTTACAGGCTTAAATCAGACCCTGACTCAGGACAGAGCATGGAGAGCCCAGGATACAAAGGACTAGTAGCTTCAAATGAGGTCCTCCCCTGACTCAGGTATGAAGGTTCATATGTAATGTCCTCTTTCCTGCGGATTTAAGGTCAGTGATTGCTGGGCTGGTGAGATCATAGCCCAGGGGCAGAATTCCCCAGTAACCCATGGTGCACCGGCTCCTGAAGCTCGCTGGGTCTTTGCCTCCTGTAATTTCTCAGTAGTCAGTGCTCCTAGCTGTGACATAGAGCTTCAGGATGTTGGAAGGTAGAAGCAGGACTGGTAGCTGGCATGGAGCGTCCTGGGTTAGACAGGAGAGGTGTCGTCCCTTTAGCTTTGTGGATGTATCCTTGGTCCCTAGCAAGGCCAGTAGCCAGTTATTGCAGCTTAGAAGGGAAGATGCACGCTAGCAGCAGACATATTGGGTTATCAGCTGCAAATGACTGTAAGTCTCAGCTGTCAGAGCCAGATCCTTGGGACTACATGGCCTTCATAAATATTTATTTATTCAGTAAATGTTTATTGAAAATCTACTATGTGCCTGGCACTGTTCTAGGTATGTATATGGCAGTAAACAAAACAGACAACACTCACTCCTCGTAAGAACATAAGCTATAATGGCAGAGGGCGATAGAAAATAAGCAGGTAAGGAAAATCTATAGTAAGCTGGAGAATGGTAAGTGCTGTGGAGAAAAATAAAGCAGGGACTGAGTTTAGGAATGGCAGAGGTGAGGTGGAATGCTGTGGAGTTGAGAATTCAAATAGTCAGGAAGCATTTCACTGGGAAAGTTTAATTTGAACGAATACCTGTATTCGTTTTCTATCGCTGTATAACAAATTACCCCAAACTTAATTGTAGTAGATCAGTTTTGTTTCTTGAGCATGTTTCCAGTATTTTCCTGACTAGAACTTCTTTCTCCCTTCCTTAAGCCTTGAGTTTTTGCTTTTGTTTGTGTGTTTGATATCTTCCTCATACTTTGGAATCCATTGACTCTTGTGCTTTCAGAATGTAGCTTCTTTTATCTGCGTACTTAATTAATACAGCCCTTCACTAATATATTTTATAGATATTTAATAGTTAATCTGATGATTCCTTCATATTAAAGACTTATTGAAAAAACACAAGTTTTATTCTCAGTTATCATTCAGGTTTCCTTCTCTTTTTCAATCAATACATATTTGAGAGCCTGCTCCCAGGGACCTTACCTTTTAGGAGAGAAGACCAACAATAAAGGAGCAGACAAGTAAATCGATAACATCACACCATGTTAATGTTCTGAAGAAGCTAAAAAGCAGAGTAAAAGTGTAGAGATTGAAAAGGATTAAGGGCTGTTCTAAGTCGAACAGGGAAGGAAGTTCTCTTCGAGAAAATAGCACTTGAGCAGAGGACCTAATGATGAGGACTAAGCCATAAGAAGATGTGGATGCGTGGTTCCAGCCACCAGGAGCAACAGCCCTGAAGTGGGAATGAACTTGGAGTGTGTGAATAGCAGTAGGTCCTGTAGATAAGCAAAGGGAGTGAAGGAGAGTGGTAGAAGATGAGGTTGGAGAGGAAGGCAGGACCAGAGCATGTGAGATCTTGTAGGTAATGGCCATGAGTTTGATTTTATTCCAAGTATGATGGGAAGCCATTGAAGGGTTTTAAGCCAGTGAGTGTTATGATCTAATTTAGGCTTAAAAAAAATCACTGTGGCTGCTGTTTGCAGAATGGACTGTAGTGGGGGCAACTGTGCAACTGGGCTGAACAGTGTGGAGGCCTGGGCTGGGTTATGGCAGTAAAGATGGAGAGAAGTCAGGATATATTTTGAAAGTAGAGCTGATAGGACTTGAAGTATTTGAGGAGTAGGGTCAGTGAACGAGGGGAATGAAGAGCAACTCTTAAGGTTTAGGTTTAAGCAAAATGGGTGAGTATGATGTCATTAATTGAAACGAGGAGTAATGGGAAAAGCATGTTTAGGCGGGAAAATGATTAATTCTGCATGGCCATGTTAAGTTTTAGTTTCTTTTTAGATATTTTAGTGGAAATGTCAAGAATACGTGGAGACCTCGATGGTTTCACATATTAGTGAATTCTACCAGCACTTAAGGAAGAAATGATACTGATTCTATGCAAACACTTTCAGAAGATGGAAGAAGAGGAAACTTTTCCCATCTCATTCTATGGGGCTGGCATTGCCCTAATACCAAAACAGACAAAAGGCATTAAGAAAAGAAAGCTACTCCTCATGAACGTAGATGAAAATATCCTCAATAGAATATTAGCAAATAGAATCAGCAACATATAAAAAGAATAACACAGCATGAGCAAGTGGGGCTTATCCCAGGCTGCAAGATTGGCTTAATATTTGAAAATCAACCAATGTAATTTATCATATTAATAGACTAAAAATTAGAACCATATGATTATTTTAATAGATGCAGAAAAACACTTGACTGAATCCCACAACCATTCATTATGAAAATTCTCAGCAACCTAGGGGACTTCTTCAACCTGATAGAGAGTATCTGGGAGACACTTATAGCTACTGTCCTTTTCAGTGGTGAAAGACAGAATGCTTCCCCTCTAATGTTGGGAATGGGGTAAGGATGTCTACTTTCATCACTTTTATTCAACATTGAACTGGAGATTCTAGCCAGTAAAATAAGGCAAGGGAAAAAAAACCATCCAGATTGTAAAGGAGGAGGTAAAACTGCTTTCATTGTGACACTATATCATCTTTTCTACAGAAATCCTAAGGAGTCCCAAAAAACCGCTACTAGAACTAGTAAGTGAGTTTAGCAAGGTTGCAGAACAGATGGCTGGTATATAAAAATCTGTTATACTTCTATATGCTAGCAATGAAAAATTGGAAATTAAAACATTTTTAGAGATACCATTTATAGTAGGATCAAATATATAAAACACTTAGAGGTAAATTTGGAAAAATATGTGCAAGGTGTGTACACTAAAACTATAAAATATTACTGAAAGAAAATAAGGCCTCAATAAATGTTGAGGAATACTATGTTTATGAGTCAAAACACTCAAATATTGTTAGGATGTCAGTTCTAGTCAAATTGGCACACAGATTCAGCACAATCACAAACAAAATCCCAGCATTTTTTTTTTTTTGTAGAAATTAACAAGCCCGTTCTAAAATTTATATAGAAATACAAAGGACTTAGAATAGCCAATACAGAGAACAATGAAGTTGGAGGACTTGCAGTGCCCAATTTCAAGACTTACAAATCTCCAGTAATCAAGACAGTGTGGTATTGGCATCAAGATAGACATGTAGATCACTGGAACAGAATAGGAACCCAGAAATAGACCCACATATATGATTAACTGATTTTCTACAAAGGGGCTGAGGTAATCCAGTGGGAAAAGGAAAATTTTTTCAACAAATGTGCTGGAACGATTGAGTAGCCATATGAAAAATAATGAACCTAGACTCTTACCTCATACCATATTCAGAAAGTAACTTGCAATGGATCATAGAACTAAACATTTGTGTAAAAAGTATAAACTTTTTGGAAGAAAATATAGGAGAAAATTTTATTGGCTTTAGGTTTGGCAAAGGTTTCTTAAGTATAACAATAAGCATGAAATAGAAAATATCAGTAAATTAGATTTTGTCAAAATCATAAACTTGCTTTTTAATAGACACTCTTACAAAAATGAAAAGGCAAGCCACTGACTGGGAGAAAATATTTGAAAAACACCTATCTGACCAAGGACTCTTACTTAGAATATATAAGGAATTCATAACTCATTAATAAGAATACAAACAACCCAGTTAAAAAATGCATTAAAATCTGGACACTTCACTAATGAGAATATGTGGATGGCAAATAAATATGTGAAAAGATACTCAACATAATTAGTCATTAAGGAAATGCAAATTAAAAGCGTGAGCTACCACCACAGACCCACTAGAATGGCTCAGTTGAAAAAGACTGACCGTAACCAGTGTTGGCAAAAATAGGGAGCAACTAGAACTGTCGTACACTGCTGGTGGGAATGTTAAATGGTACAGTCACTTTGGAAAACAGCTTGGCAGTTTTTTAAAAAGTTGCGCATGCACTTAACATATGACTCAGCTGTTCCATTCCTAGGTATTTACGAGAGAGAAATGAAAGTGTTTGTGCACACAAAGACTTGTGTGGGAATGGTCATAGCAGCCTTGTTTGTAATATCCCCAAACTGGAAACTACCAAAACGCGCACCACCAAGTGAACGGATAAACAGATTGTGGTGCATGTGTACCATGGACCTTTTAACTCAACATTAAAAACAAACGAACTGTTGATGCATGGAACAAACAACATGGATGAATTTCAAAATACTTATGATGGGTGAAAGAAGCCAGCCAGCATCGGGTTTTCTGTCAGGTGGGCAGAGGGAAATAGAGGGCTCAGGAGGCCAGTTAGTATTCACGAGTCTGGGGAGAGGTTGGTATTCATCTGAGAAGTTTGCAGAGCAAAGCTGAGAACTGTGAAGTTTCCTGTCTTTGAGAAGGATGGGTAGATACGAGAATGCTTTTTTAGAACTAGGGCCAGTTCTGTCAACCAATACTTGTCAGTCTTTAATCTGAAAATGATTCACCTGGGAATTTTGTAAAGATGCAAACTCTAATTCAGTAGGTCCGAGATGGAACCTGAAATTGTGCATTTCTAACAGCTCCCCAGATAACATTGATACTGCTGGATTGGAACCACACTCTGAGTAACAAGCCTGTAGACTGACTCCCACTGGGGAGTCAGGAGGGAGAGAGCAAGAAGCTGCACCCTAGATCAGGGAGCTGGTTGGGGGGCAGACAGTTGAACTGTAGTATGGACCTTAACTGTGCTGTGGGCCATGAAGTCCCCCTAAAAGACTGAATTCTGGGCCCTCTCTTTATTGCTGACATCCTCTTGAGAAGGGATTGGCATGTATACAGAGAAGGACCCAGACTGGCAAGGAGGACCTTACCCTGTGAGGAGCTGGAGCGGGTAGTGTGAGGAAAATGTGAGAGAGGCAGCCTTGGTGCATTCGGGGGGTCCTCTTCAGTGGTCAGAAGATCTGGAATGTAGA